GTGCTACCTGTCTATTTGGTGCTACTGTCTAGTCTATGCTACTGTTTAGTTAGTGCTACCTGTCTATTTGGTGCTACTGTCTAGTCTATGCTACTGTTTAGTTAGTGCTACCTGTCTATTTGGTGCTACTGTCTAGTCTATGCTACTGTTTAGTTAGTGCTACCTGTCTATTTGGTGCTACTGTCTAGTCTATGCTACTGTTTAGTTAGTGCTACCTGTCTATTTGGTGCTACTGTCTAGTCTATGCTACTGTTTAGTTAGTGCTACCTGTCTATTTGGTGCTACTGTCTAGTCTATGCTACTGTTTAGTTAGTGCTACCTGTCTATTTGGTGCTACTGTCTAGTCTATGCTACTGTTTAGTTAGTGCTACCTGTCTATTTGGTGCTACTGTCTAGTCTATGCTACTGTTTAGTTAGTGCTACCTGTCTATTTGGTGCTACTGTCTAGTCTATGCTACTGTTTAGTTAGTGCTACCTGTCTATTTGGTGCTACTGTCTAGTCTATGCTACTGTTTAGTTAGTGCTACCTGTCTATTTGGTGCTACTGTCTAGTCTATGCTACTGTTTAGTTAGTGCTACCTGTCTATTTGGTGCTACTGTCTAGTCTATGCTACTGTTTAGTTAGTGCTACCTGTCTATTTGGTGCTACTGTCTAGTCTATGCTACTGTTTAGTTAGTGCTACCTGTCTATTTGGTGCTACTGTCTAGTCTATGCTACTGTTTAGTTAGTGCTACCTGTCTATTTGGTGCTACTGTCTAGTCTATGCTACTGTTTAGTTAGTGCTACCTGTCTATTTGGTGCTACTGTCTAGTCTATGCTACTGTTTAGTTAGTGCTACCTGTCTATTTGGTGCTACTGTCTAGTCTATGCTACTGTTTAGTTAGTGCTACCTGTCTATTTGGTGCTACTGTCTAGTCTATGCTACTGTTTAGTTAGTGCTACCTGTCTATTTGGTGCTACTGTCTAGTCTATGCTACTGTTTAGTTAGTGCTACCTGTCTATTTGGTGCTACTGTCTAGTCTATGCTACGGTTTAGTTAGTGCTACCTGTCTATTTGGTGCTACTGTCTAGTCTATGCTACTGTTTAGTTAGTGCTACCTGTCTATTTGGTGCTACTGTCTAGTCTATGCTACGGTTTAGTTAGTGCTACCTGTCTATTTGGTGCTACTGTCTAGTCTATGCTACTGTTTAGTTAGTGCTACCTGTCTATTTGGTGCTACTGTCTAGTCTATGCTACTGTTTAGTTAGTGCTACCTGTCTATTTGGTGCTACTGTCTAGTCTATGCTACTGTTTAGTTAGTGCTACCTGTCTATTTGGTGCTACTGTCTAGTCTATGCTACTGTTTAGTTAGTGCTACCTGTCTATTTGGTGCTACTGTCTAGTCTATGCTACTGTTTAGTTAGTGCTACCTGTCTATTTGGTGCTACTGTCTAGTCTATGCTACTGTTTAGTTAGTGCTACCTGTCTATTTGGTGCTACTGTCTAGTCTATGCTACTGTTTAGTTAGTGCTACCTGTCTATTTGGTGCTACTGTCTAGTCTATGCTACTGTTTAGTTAGTGCTACCTGTCTATTTGGTGCTACTGTCTAGTCTATGCTACTGTTTAGTTAGTGCTACCTGTCTATTTGGTGCTACTGTCTAGTCTATGCTACTGTTTAGTTAGTGCTACCTGTCTATTTGGTGCTACTGTCTAGTCTATGCTACTGTTTAGTTAGTGCTACCTGTCTATTTGGTGCTACTGTCTAGTCTATGCTACTGTTTAGTTAGTGCTACCTGTCTATTTGGTGCTACTGTCTAGTCTATGCTACTGTTTAGTTAGTGCTACCTGTCTATTTGGTGCTACTGTCTAGTCTATGCTACTGTTTAGTTAGTGCTACCTGTCTATTTGGTGCTACTGTCTAGTCTATGCTACTGTTTAGTTAGTGCTACCTGTCTATTTGGTGCTACTGTCTAGTCTATGCTACTGTTTAGTTAGTGCTACCTGTCTATTTGGTGCTACTGTCTAGTCTATGCTACTGTTTAGTTAGTGCTACCTGTCTATTTGGTGCTACTGTCTAGTCTATGCTACTGTTTAGTTAGTGCTACCTGTCTATTTGGTGCTACTGTCTAGTCTATGCTACTGTTTAGTTAGTGCTACCTGTCTATTTGGTGCTACTGTCTAGTCTATGCTACTGTTTAGTTAGTGCTACCTGTCTATTTGGTGCTACTGTCTAGTCTATGCTACTGTTTAGTTAGTGCTACTGTCTAGATGGTGCTACTGTCTAGATGGTGCTACTGTCTAGCTGATAGTTGATGCATCTTTCTAGTCGGTAGCTGGTGCTACTGCGTAGATTGTGCTACTATATAATGGTTTAGCCACTACCTATCGGGGAGACTGTTTAGTTGAGCACCTTTCCTTTAAGGCTGACGTATATTGAAGATGAACAGCTACAAACGTCTTCAAAACACAGGTGAAACACTCCTAGACTAGTGATCAGCTTAAAATTGCATGGAGGTTTATAGATAGTTGACATTAAATGATAGTGATGAGGACCTCTATGTTACAAGTCATTACAGGAATGTTTTAGTAAAAAGTATTATTCAAGTCCAACACCACAATGCAATTTATAGATGATTCCGTGTATGTTGCCGTGTCTGTTGACGCGTCTGTTCCCGTGTCTGTTGCCGTGTGTGTGTGTATGTTGCCGTTTATGTTGCCGTGTCTGTTGCCGTGTCTGTTGCCGTGTCTGTTGCCGTGTGTGTGTATGTTGCCGTGTATGTTGCCGTGTGTGTGTATATTGACGTGTCTGTTGCCGTGTGTGTGTATATTGACGTGTCTGTTGCCGTGTGTGTGTATGTTGCCGTGTCTGTTGCCGTGTCTGTTGCCGTGTGTGTGTATGTTGCCGTGTATGTTGCCGTGTGTGTGTATATTGACGTGTCTGTTGCCGTGTGTGTGTATATTGACGTGTCTGTTGCCGTGTGTGTGTATGTTGCCGTGTCTGTTGCCGTGTCTGTTGCCGTGTGTGTGTATGTTGCCGTGTCTGTTGCCGTGTCTGTTGCCGTGTCTGTTGCCGTGTCTGTTGCCGTGTCTGTTGCCGTGTGTGTGTATGTTGCCGTGTATGTTGCCGTGTGTGTGTATATTGACGTGTCTGTTGCCGTGTGTGTGTATATTGACGTGTCTGTTGCCGTGTGTGTGTCTGTTGCCGTGTCTGTTGCCGTGTCTGTTGCCGTGTCTGTTGCCGTGTCTGTTGGCGTGTCTGTTGCCGTGTCTGTTGCCGTGTCTGTTACCGTGTCTGTTACCGTGACGGACACCAGAATTTATAGATGGCGCAGTATCTCGGCCACTAGCGATTGCAGCCAAGCTGCGCCATCCATCTAGCGGAGTAGTTCAAGGTGCTGTAACTCCTGTCCGCTTATCTCCCATGTCAAAGGAAAGTTTTATGCCCTCCGAAAATCAATTGGCGTTATTTGGGTGTTTGGTTAAATGCTAATCTGGGCAAGTTTTCTATTTGGTCCGATGGATTGGTGAAAAATTTATGAACTATCGCCAGCTAGTTGTACGTTTGTGGATTGGCTGGAATGAAAATTCTATTTTTAGATTGAGCAAATATTTTTCAACAAGCTTATACACTGATTACATTTGTACGAAACAAACATCAAACATCCGTGGTCTGAATGAGCGTTTGTATGTTTGATGTTTGTATGAGCGTTTGTATGTTTGATGTTTGTATGAGCGTTTGTATGTTGATGTTTGTACTTTATATTAGCGTTTGTGTGTTGATGTTTGTAGTTTATATTAGCGTTTGTCTGTAAATTTCTCAATGCTTAGTATGTAAAACCACGACTGTGATTAACTGTAGCGTTCAAAATTTCGGTTTCAAATTTGTTTACACAGGAACGATGACAATCTAAACCTAAGGATATTTAATAAAATTTAGCTTTCAAACTTTACGCAGAAGAAAATTTAGGCTATTTAAAAAAAGGTGTTTCTAAAAGAAGCATTAGTTATTAAAACGATTTACTTAAAAAAATATGAAAATGTTTCTCGCGAGAATATCCAAGCCATAAAAAAAGCGGCTGGTAACGAAATTTGGGGCATCAAAAAGTTGTTTCTGAAGAATTTTCTGCTATCAATACCGTTTTGTCCAGGATGAATAAAAATGACTGACGTGGGATAATCCTGGGCTGGATCTAAGGCTGAAGGGGGTGGGTCGGGGAGATAACCAGGCTGGATTAACTGCTTCCGTTTTTCTCTCTTCTCATTGCCAGGTTTTTTACCAGGGCAGATTATGCCAGGTTTTTGTCAATAGAATATCTTCGGCTACAAGGGCAGATTATGCCAGGTTCTTGCCAACGAAATACCTTATGCAAAAAGGGCAGATTATGTCCGGTTCTTGCCGACGAATTACCTTCGGCAACAAGGGCAGCTTATGCCCGGTTCTTGCCGAAGGAATATCTTCGGCTACAAGGGCAGATTATGCCCAATTCTTGCCGACGAAATACCTTACACGAGCAGGTGTAGACAGAGTTTAGCCCGTACAACCTCAGTCAAATTGTCCAAAGAAAGTTTAGCAACGTACACAGAAGACAGGGTTGAACAATTCAGTTTATCAATGTTAAACTATTTTGTTCAATAAGTTGAACAATTTCCAGGTTTAACCATGTTTAACAAAGTCCAGATTTTGTAAGCTGTTAGCCACAACAATCAACAAAATTGTGTTTCTACATTCGAATATGCCTTTATTTTTATTTTTCTTCTTTAAAAAATTTAGTTTATACATTAAAAACACCCAACATTATTTTCAACAAAAGTCCGTATCTTTAAGTTCTCCATATATCCTGAACATACTGATCAACTTGCCTTTGGACACAGAGAGAGAGAGAGAGAGAGAGTGAGAGAGAGAGAGAGAGTGTGTGTGTGTGAGAGAGAGAGAGCTGGCTTTTATATATTAGGATGCTGCACTCACATTTAAAATCAACTCCTGAAAATTGTTTTAATTGCAAATTATTTTTTCCCAGGTTTGTGAAACAATGAGCAGAACTCAGCAAAATAACGAGCCCAGTTTTTACACATCGACCATAAGCTGTAAGGTGTGCTTGTTAGATTAGCCGTACCCGCTGTCTGCTACTCTACACCATCTACAACCTACCAGCCGGCTACAGAGGCTACAGGCTACCAACTACACTACCAGCTGAATCCTCTAGCTACTCGCTAGTCTAAATACACGGTAAGTGTGTGCAGTATATCTAGCTCATGTAAGCGCCATTACATCCATCCTAGTTACTGAGGTCTTGTAAGTAAAACTTGGTGCCCTCTAGTCTGACCTAAGAAGCCCACAGCCTACCACCTTTTACCCTTTGATCACGCCGATGTAAAGTCTTCCATCTGCTCTTTGTTCGTCAAGTACGATACACAATCAAAAGTAGATCTACTTCTCTTCAATACTTGCCTTCTCTTATCTACTTCTCTTGTCTCCTTCACTTTCTACTGATCTGTTTATCTGTTTATGATTCCTGCGTCCCTGAAGCTGACAAGAAATTCTTTCCGTCTAGCTTTGTGTATATCCTCTAGCCAGTAGGTAAACACACTCGCTAGTTCGGTGTTTACGAACCATTACAAGTGGCGATATTCGCTAGTTTGTCACTTTGTGTGCAGGTTTAGATGCACTTAGAGTCAGACTAGAAATGTTTGTGGGCCGAAGACAGTGTATGTTGTTGCAGTTTTGTCGAGTCAGTCTAGGTTTATACAAATACTCTATAAGAAACTCCATGACTCCAAGAATCCCAGAGGCTGGTATAGCACACAGAATAAAGGGTTTTCTTGTAAACAAAGACATAACTTTTTGCGACACTAAAACTTGGCCTAACAAAATTGCTTAAGACAGATGTAGAGGTTGGTGCCGACATTGACGCCTAGACCTAAAATAGCTGTGGTTGGCGTGTGGTTGGGTCGTGTGGTTGGCGTGTGGTTGGGCCGTGTGGTTGGGTCGTGTGATTGGCATGTGGTTAGGTCGTGTGGCTGAAGTGTGGCTGTGGTTGGTGTGTGGTTGGGCCGTGTGGTTGGGTCGTGTGGTTGGGTCGTGTGGCTGGGTCGTGTGGTTAGCATGTGGTTGGGTCGTGTGGTTGGCGTGTGGTTGGGCCATGTGGCTGGCGTGGGGTTGTGGTTGGCGTGTGGTTAGGTCGTGTGGTTGGCGTGTGGTTGTGGTTGGCGTGTGGTTAGGTCGTGTGGCTGGCGTGTGGTTGCGTCGTGTGGCTATCGTTGACTGGCGTGTAAATCCCACCAGTGACTGCAACAATCAGTGTAGCCGAGTTATTTCCCCATTAGCTCGAGTCGCCGCCCCTGACGTCACAGATTGGACGGTGTTATGCTGTGTTGAGCAACACCCCATTAGTCTAGATTAACCATGACTCCAGAGCTTTAGTCTGGCGGCCATATTGTAATGGTGTTTGTCACGTGGTACTAGATAAGCTAAAGAAACAGACCAGCAACTGATACTGGAGCCAGGAATGGCATTAGCGACCATCCCAAGACTCGGCAGACAATCGAACGCTCCAATGGCATCTAGTTTTCTCACCTGTACAACGGTACCATCTAACCACACCTTAAGCTAACAGTCCGTGGCTTTGATAAATGGTTTATTTGGTGCAAATATTACTTCTATCTACACATTGTACAATAACAATGGCGACTGGTGGAAATGTTGAAGTTAAGGCTAGACACTGCGATTTGTCAAAGTCTACTTGTTACATTCGTCCCAGGGTTTATTTGAGACATTCTCCGTGGGGTCGGGGTTGGGGTTGCGCGGGGGGGGGGGGGTCATGTAATTTCATGTGAGTGGGAGGCAAACAATTGTTTAAGTGAATATTTTCTTGTTGAAAATCAAATTGTCTTAGTGTGTGTATGGAAAGGGGTGGGTAGGGGGAGGGGGGGGGGGTGGGGGCGTGATGCACTGCCTGAGAGATGCCAGAAAAAACCACTGCTATAAAGTACTTCCGGCTTGGATACTGACGTCACTCCTAAACAAAGCAATTTCCCCCACCTGTTTTTTTAGACAACTTAAAACAGAAATTCACAGATTCGGTCAACGTTTGTGTGCAGACTGGTGGTTTATTTTTAACATCACAAGTCACGTAATGTCGTGGGATGGCTTTTATTAGACCGTTATTATAACTACATTTTAGTGCTCAACGTTTCTGTTATTAGTGCGGACCTTGATGACCCCCCTGCCCCGACCCCCCCCCCCCCATTAAGATTTAGGTACAAGCTGCCTACTAGGCAATAAATCTGGCCGTTATCTGGGTGTGGATTGATTGGAAAACCTTCAGCCGTTAATCCTTCCCACATCAACTATACCGCCCCGAACATATGACTCCAGGGTTCACAGGGTTCAGTGGTATCCAGTACAGTCGTCGTCCATCTTGGGGGTTTCGTGACGTCATCGTGAGGTCACGGTGCCAGTGGGTCAAGAGAGTTTGGTCAAACTAGACACCCCAGGGTACACTTGAAGGGTGGCACCCCAAGATACACTCCAATATAACCCCAAATTAACACATAGGTAATGCATAGATAATCCCTAGATAATAACTTCATAACCCCTAGATAACCCATAGATAATCCATAAATAATCCCTAGGTAATCCCTAGATAATCCCTAGATAGTCCCTAGATAATCCCTAGGTAATCCCTAGATAATCCCTAGATAATCGCGAGATAATCCCTAGTTAATCCCTACATAACCCCTAGATAACCATTAGATAATCCCTAGATAATCCCTAGATAATCTCTAGGTAATCCCTTTATAATACCTAGATAATCCCTAGATAATCCCTAGATAATCCCTAGATAATCCCTAGATAATCCCTAGATAATCCCTAGATAACCCTTAGATAACCCTTAGATAATCCCTAGATAACCTCTAGAAGTCTAGATAATACCTACACTATAAGATACATTCCGTTGCACCCTAAAGACTCACCGAAATATATTTTAAAATACACTTCAAGAAACACACCAAAAAACACACAAAGATACCTTTCAAGATAGTTCTCAGATACTCTCTAAAACAGCACACCGTAGTTGACTGAAGCTCACAGCACACCGTTGTTGTTATGAATCTACCACCTTAAAGCAGATTCACCCTCCATCACCCGACATACAGGTCGGTCCATCTATGCAGGTAGGTCAATACATACAGGTAGGTCAATACATACAGGTAGGTCAATACATACAGGTAGGTCAATACATACAGGTAGGTCAATCTACACAGGTAGGTCAATCTGTGCAGGTATATCAACACGTACAAAAGATCCCTTGCCCCACGAGTTTTAATCAGTGTCCAGACGCCTTTCATCAAACTTATTCTGCTTTAGTACCCCCTCCCCTCCCTCCCACCTCCCCATCTTTATGTAAACAGAACTCCAACGTGAGGTACACATTCTTCGTTGACCGTGAGAAGAAAACCGGCAGCCGGTTCTTTTCTGTGGTGGCGTACAGGGCCGTGATTGGCCGGACTTCATTAGTCCACACACAACAGGATGATTTGTCCGCTTTTAATGGACGGGATTTGTCCGCATGTAATGAATCTTATTTCTCCACATGTAACGGACGACATTTGTCCGTTCATGCGGTTGTCTGGTCTGCATAGAAAGACTTTTGTCTGCATGTGCCGTACCTGATTTTTGCCGTCCAAACAGGAAGTGGTCTGTTGGCTGTCGGACATGTTAGATCAGAAACTAAAATAGCCGGACCGGGGACCGGAACACGCTGGACAGATTGGCACTGAATGATGGAGAACCAATAGCTAGGCATCGCCGGAGTTTAGCTTTAGATTGTGTTTAATTAATTAAAGTTGTAATTTGATTGTTTGTGTGGGTGGGGCGCAGGGTGGTGGTGGTGGGGGGGGGGGGGGGGGGGGAGGTAACTGCGGATACACGTCAGCATGCAGAGTCTGTCTGCCATGGATATCAGTCGCCCACAGGTATTCCTGCCGCTGTGACGCTCGACTCCAATTGAGTGACGCTTGACTCCAATTGATCCTGACAGATCGTGCCATTGGGATAAATAGGTTGTTTGTTTTTGACGGGGACAGTTTGTACGAGCATGCGCTGATAACAACAATACGCCCCCCCCCCCCCCCCCGCCACCCACGTGAACCCCCCATCTCATGACGTCAGTCAAAACTGGTCCCCGTGTGCTGGGCTCTAGGTGACACCCCCCCCTCACCTTCACCCCCCCCCCCCGCCACTGGGGTCCACCACACACCAATGGTGTCTGCTTACACACCACTGGCATGACTTGTGTAGTCCTACTACAACACAAGGTAGCCCTACTACTTCTGTACACCACAAGGTAGCCCTACTACATCTGTACACCACAAGGTAGCCCTACTACATCTGTACACCACAAGGTAGCCCTACTACTTCTGTATAGCACTAAAAGGTAGCCCTACTATTTCTGTACACCACAAGGTAGCCCTACAACATCTGTACACCACAAGGTAGCCCTACTACTTCTGTACACCACAAGGTAGCCCTACAACATCTGTATACCACAAGGTAGCCCTGCTACTTCTGTACACTACAAGGTAGCCCTACTACTTCTGTACACTACAAGCTAGCCCTACTACTTCTGTACACCAGATGGTAGCCCTACTACTTCTGTACACCACAAGGTAGCTCTACTACTTCTGTACACTACAAGGTAGCTCTACTACTTCTGTACACCACAAGGTAGCCCTACTACTTCTGTACACCAAACCTGGTGCATGTGATATGAATGTTGAACTCAGAAAGTGACTGCTCTAGGAAAAAGATTTACATCTGATGAAGAATTGTAAGAGATGTCGACATTTCTGGCATAACTTGTGGACATAGCACACACGTCTTCAAATGTTGGATTACACACTGTGTTGGTCGTTAAATCTGATGAAGACCTGATGTCGAAACATAGTTTGTGTCAAATTAGATCTGATATATTGACCAACATGATCTGAAGTGATGTTCAGCATCAGGATGTGAGAGGATGTTCAACATTAGGATGTGAGATGATGTTCAACATCAGGATATCAGATGATGTTCAACATCAGGATGTGAGATGATGTTCAACATCAGGATGTGAGATGATGTTCAACATCAGGATGTTAGATGATGTTCAACATCAGGATGTGAGATGATGTTCAACATCAGGATGTGAGATGATGTTCAAAATCGTATCTGTAAACGATAGCCTA